TTACAGTCCAGTTTCTAGATACATTCCTCCTCTCCCCCGTTCTTTTTTTTTTTTCTTTTTCTGGTCTGCTAAATTGTGGACGAAGTAACAACAAAATATAGGAAGGACTAAATGGAGACAACATTGTTATCATAGCCAAACATATCAAATAATTTTTCTTGCAATATTCACAGTAGCATGTGGTAACTCAAGAGTGTCTTGGTTTAATTTCCTACATATAAAGCAACGTATGAGAAAAAAACAGTGACTAATTCATACATGAAAATGTATCATGTAACAGAAAATCATTCTGTCAAACCTTTTAAACTAAGAATGATGGTCATTGGCATAACCTTTTTTCTGTGTTTTTTTAAAGTTAGGCAGTTTTAGAAAACGAAAGAATTAAAGCTGAGGTAAACTGTCATATTCACGAAGTCCGGGAAATGACCCCACAGTTTCTTTCTTCAGAAATCTTGAAGCGCTTGGATGACGTCTCGCACGATGTCCGTTTGGCAGCTGCTGATGCCTTAACCAGTTGGTTCAGATGTATAAATGACCCGGAGACAAAAGCCCTTCTGAAAACCAACATCAAGGTCCTCTACCAAGAGTTGTTAGTTCACCTGGATGACCCTGACCAAAATATCCAATTGGCTGTTTTAGGTAATTATGCCGTTCAGTAAGCTCTGATTTCCCTGAGATTTTAAAAAAATAAAATTTCGCTAACTACTTTGACGTTGCTTGATAATTGCTTCCAACTTCCTAGTGGCACGCTCTCAGGAAATAGTTTAGTTTACTTTATTGTCATTGCACCTTGTACAGTGAAATCAAACACCATCTTCAGTACACATCGTGACCATGAAAATAAACACAAACACACATCCTTCACACACCACACATTGAATTGAAAACCCCTGACACCGCATTCATATTGCACTATACGGTAGAATTCAACAGAGCTACTGCCCTGGGATAGAAGCTGTTTTTCAGCCTATTTGTCCTTGTTTTTATTATTATTCTGTACTGTCTGCCAGGTGGTAATAGTTCAAAAAAAGGGGTACCCAGGATGAGATGGATCTTTGAGAATGTTTTGAACTTTCTTAAGGCAGCGGGAGCTTTAAAGCTCTTCCAAAGAGGGGAGAAGGCAGCCAATGATCCTCTGGGCAATGACAGTTAACCCTCTGGAGTGCTGTCCTATCTGTCCCTGTGCAATTGGCAAACCAGACAGAGGTGCAGTAAGTTAAGATACTCTCTATGGTGCAGCGGTAGAAGGTCACCAGCAGTTTTTCATTCCGTTGTTGTTTCCTGAGAAGTCTAAGGTAGTATAATCTCTACTGGGCCCTTTCGACCAGGACTGCAATGTGAGCACCCCAGGTCAGGTCCTCTTTTAGGGTAACACCCAAAAACTTAAAACTGGCCACTTGCTCCCCTCGGTCTCCATTGATAAGCAAGGGCTGGATGTCTGATCTGTTCCTTCTATAGTCCACTATAAGCTCCTTGGTCTTACTGGTGTTGAGGACCAAGTTATAATTGATAATTACGGCTCATTGGTGTTCCGAAATTGTTTTTGAGAAATTGTATGCCCTGAACCCTGAGCCATTTTCATAACTCCAGCAACTTCTGTTTTGTAGATACTTTGAAAGAAGGGGGCGTTCTCTATCCAGACCTCTTGGCGAAGGAAATTGAAGGAGTCGTACACAAACATCGCACTCCAATCTACTGTGACCAGCTACTTCTGCACCTTGAATCAACAGGATGGAGCTATTCTGAGTCCTAAATGCCTCAGTGTGCCTTGATTAATAATGCCTTAATTAATTAAAAATGGAAATCTTTCCATCTGTTCCCCAGAAAACAGGCACTTCAATAAAGAGAGACATTTTAAGCTGGAAGAGGCTAAAATTCATATCCTCCTTGCATATGTGAACACTGCAAAAAAAAACCCAAAACCCTTCAATAATATTTATTGCTGCCAATCCTAAAACTAACGTTTTTGCGGTTAAGTTTAAATAACAAAATGGCAATGTGCTGGTCAAGCTGATATGTAGCTTGAATGACCCACATCGAACAGAGTGAAAGCTCTTTTATTCTGCAAACATTGTTAAAATGGATAGTTTTTATTAAATTAACAGTAGATTGAATTCATTTTTATATGTGATACTAGATAGCCACAGGAGCAAAAGGCAAGGAATTTATCTTTGTCTTAAAATTCATGGCGTGTATCAAATCTAAACACCAAACTCAGTATGTTTTTGTAGTACTTTGATTTATGATGAAATAAGAGCAGTGTTGTATATAAACATAATTCGAGAACAGGTTTTGATAAGAAGTTTCAAATGGATTATTAATGAAGATACTCTTTTTTCAGAGTCTTTATGAGTTTCGGTGTTCATTGGTTATGCTTTCACTAATTGCTCTTGATTTTAATTCTCGCTTTGTTTTTACGATATTTTGAACGTTGCCATTTGGTTTCTTAATACAGCTTTACATTTTGTGATAAAATAAGTGCATCTGCATAAACTGTGTCTCAGAGATGGAGGGGAGAGATTTTGGCTTCTGCATTTCAAGCTAGACATTCAGAAGGTAGCAATATTTTTAAATGCAAGAGATTTCTAAGCATTTAAACCACCAATAAATTCTTATGTATTCAGGCCCTGAGGTGTTGCTATGTGTTTTAGAAAATTCCTTTACTTGTTTCCCTTTTCCAGCATGGACCTATTTTTCTTGCTTTGCATTTTGCAAAGATTTTAAACCGTGCATAAATGCAAACCCAGATGATGATAAAATAGGCTGAATTTTCTTGTAAAAAAAAAAAAACCAAGATTTTTCAGTGGAAAAACAAAAATAGAAAGTCAGGCCCTTACATTATCAGTACCTGCAATCTCCAGAAGAAATTCCCAGTGACAGAATCACCTGAACTGCCAAAGGATGATAAATAGAGGTACTGGTATCTGGAGAGGTTATAACTTGTGTTTCTTTCAAAATTGAGCACAGCAAAATTCTGGTAAATCTCAAAAGGCTGACATCTCTCTGCTGTTTGTTTAAAGAGAAAAAAAAAACCCACAGGCTTCGAACTCGCCCTTTGTGAGAATTCAAACTATCTGTAAGCTAAATGCTGTTTTTTATTTGAATCCGTTAATCAGAAAGAGTTATTCCTTAGTTAAAATGGCCTGTGCTAACACCTCCTAGGAGGAAGTTGGCACAACGATACAGGTAGTCCTCAACTTATGACAATTGGGACCCAAATTCCCTTCACTAAGTGAGGTTAAGTGACTCACACCTGATTTTATGACGGTTTTTTGGCCACAGTTCAATGAATCACTGCAGTTAAGTGAAGTATGGAGTTATAAGTGAATTGAACCAAATCATGGGATGGTGCTGGTGTAAAATGTAGAGCAGCCACTGTGAGTCATAAATCATGGCTTAAGGTGACGTTTGTTCACCCTGAGCAAATGGAAGAGGACTGGACTTAAGGTGATGTTTGCCCATCGGAGCGACCAAAAGATGCATGGACTTCAACTCCCAGAAATCCCCAGCTGGGGAATCTTGGTTTGTACTCTGTGCAAAGCCATCATTTGGCTGAGTTTGGGAGAAGATCCTATCCCATCAGTAGTGTTTCTCAACCTGAGCAACCGGAAGGAGCATGGACTTCAACTCCCAGAATTCCTCAGCTGGGAATTCTGAGGGCAGCCACTGGTTCCCCAGCTGGGGAATTCTGGGAGTTGAAGTCCATGCTCAAGTTGAGAAACACTGGCTGATGGATAGGATCCTTGCCCAAACTCAGCCAAACTACCGCTTCGCACAGAGTACAAACCAAGATCGCACCTATTCGGCTTTGTGAAGACAGTGGAAGGGTCCAGGTTATGCAGAGCATCGTGGCTTCTCGCTAACCAGGATAGGTGGTGCTAAGCTGCCCTGGGATCCCGGTAGCCTTCACAGGATGATCCTGGCTTGTGACACCAACCCCAGCTGTGGCTACAGCCCCAGAAGGGCGTATCCCGCCTCCTTCGCGGACTACCACGCCCATCATCCCCAGCGCCAACATCCCCCGGCAGCCGCTCGCTTCGCCAAGCGGGGTGGGCGTGGCCGAGGCCGGTGGGCGTGGCCCTCCCCTCGCAGCGCGAGCCACTTTCGAAACCCAACGGCCGCACCGGGGAGCGTGCGCGCACGCGCCGACGTTTTTCTTCCCCTCCCCTCCCCTCAGGAGAGCGCGGCGGCGCTTCGAAAGGCGCGGGGACGCGCACGGCCGGCCCGTCAGGTAACGTGGGGAGGGGCTTGCGCGCTCCCGCTCTCTCCCGGTTCACTTGTTGCCTCGGTCGGCCGTGGCCGCGCGAAGAGAGGAGGGGGGTGGGGGGGGGCGCGGCCACCGGTTCCCCGCCATGAAGAAGGCGGAGCAGCTGCGAAGGCTGAGGCGGGGAGGGGGCGGGCGGGCGGGGG